GGGGGGTACCCTTTGTGGGTTGATTTCAAACAACAAATGCGCCGCTCTAAAAACCTGCCTTTACATCTTAAGTAAGGACCTTGTCATATCGAATTCCGCGTAAGCAAAACCCTGGGTTGCGCAAGACTGCGTAAGCATTTCGCGTAAGCATTTCGGAAGTTTGCTCTGCGTAAGCAAAAGTGAGGGCCGCGTAAGCAGCGCGTAAGGCCTAGTGATACGACATAGGGAGTGACTGCAGGTTTTTAGAGTGGCTCAAATGGCAATGCCCAAATAAGAAACTTTAAAGGGAAAATGCGACAACCAAATCAGAAATCCTAAAAGTTTTGAAACAAAACAAAAGGGTTGACCCTAAACAACCATGGCCTTCAATAAAGCTAATGCTTTTCTACCAAAAGGAAATCTAAAGGGATTTTAAAGGAAACCACCTAAGGAACCAGCCAGGTTTGGTTTAGCATTATTTCAGGTCTGGTGTAGTTGAAGGTTTGGGCAGCTTGTGGGGGGTACCTTTGTGGGTTGATTTCAAACAACAACTGGCAATGCCCAAATAAGAAACTTTAAAAGGAAAATGCAACAGCCAAATCAGAAATCCTAAAAGTTTTGAAACAAAACAAAACAAATCAGAATCAGGTTTGGAAGCGGCTGAGAGTATATAAAATAGTATTACGTTTTGGAGTCAGCCCCAAAAACAAGATCCCCCCAAAAATAGCATTATTTAGGGTACATTTTTTTGGGGGGGGAAAATAGCATTATTCAGGGGGCATTTATTGTTATGAGGTCGACATTATCGTCGCAAACAGCTCATGCCATGGCGACTTCCGCTTCAAGGCAACCTTTGGGCCAATTGGCTTCCAGGCCGCGCTGCTTACGACCCGCAAAACGAGCCTTGGGACGCGCGGGCGCGCCCGGCAGCACGACCAGAGCGGCTGTGGGAGGTGCCCCAGTGGGTCGCGCTGGGCGTGTGTCGTGGAGGGCGGATGGTTTGGATGAAAGGTCACATGTGAGCTGATCAGTCATCATGGTTCTGGTGTGGGTACAACGGCTCAAGACCTCGAAAACATTGGGACACACACACACACACACATGTGCAGATTTTCCAGCATATCGATGTCCTGTTGTGTTTGTTTGATGTTGATGTTGCTTTGCAGCAGTGCAGGCTATTTGAAATGCTGCTGTTCTTTGTATTGGAGAGTCAATGAAGCTGGTTGGAGCCCTGAAAGCTAAGAGGCCCGGATAGCAATGGAAAAGACACGTTGCTTTAAAACAAACAAGCCTTAGGGATAGATTGCCCATATTGATCCCACACCTCTCACTTAAGCAACGGCAATTCCAGAGACGTCGAGCTTTTCACCACGTGTACGTCAAGTTGCCGCTGTTTAGGCGCGGTGGTGTGGTTTTGTTGTTAGTTGGTGTTGGTTGTTGTTGGGTTGTCGGCTCCATGCACAGACAACAATTGAAACAACATTAGCACTCACCAACCAAGCCAGACAACCAACCAAAGAAACAGACAAATCAACCAAACCAACCAACCAATCAAGCAAGCAAACAAAAGATGAACAACATCCAGCACCACCTGCCATACATGGTTTGAGGCTCTCAGTCAACTCTCAGTCGAGTCTACTCCTTGCCAGGTGCCAGCCTATCCCGGCAATTCAAGGCGCCTGCCGGACTGGGGTTAGAGTAAGTTGAGCTCAGCTGCCTTGAAGATCCGTTTGCAAGCCATTTGTTCCCCAAGCAGTGTGTCCAGACTAGAGGGGTTCTTACGGTAGGAGTGGGAGGAAAGGACGTATGTTTGATCAGAGGTGCTCGCATCCGCCGCCTACAAGAGTGTCCGGCAAGAGTGTCCCACAAGAGTGTCCGACAAGAGTGTCCCACAAGAGTGTCCCACAAGAGTTTTCCGTAAAAGTGTCCGAGAAGAGTGCCCTACAAGAGTGACCCACAAAAGTGTCCTACAAGAGTCTCCGGCAAGACTGTCCCACAAGACTCTTCCACAAGTTTGTCCCGCAAGAGTGGCCGACAAGAGTGTCCTACAAGAGTGTCCCACAAGAGTGTCCCACAACAGTGTCCCACAACAGCTTTCCACAAGAGTGTCGGACAAGAGTGTCCCACGAGAGTGTTCCACAAGAGTGTCCGACAAGAGTGTCCTACAACGGTGTCCTACAAGGGTATTCACAAGAGTGTCCTACAAGAGTGGCCAGCAAGTGTTTTTCACAATCATGTTCCATAAGAATGTCCTATAGGAGTGTCCCACGAGAGTTTCCTACAAGAGTGTCCCGCAGAGTGATGAAAGTGTCGCACGAGAGTGTCCCACAAGAGCCTTCTACAGGAGTGTCTCCTGCAAGAGTGTCGAAACATGTTTGGGCGTTTGTCCTTGAGTATGTGTTTGCATTCGGGTTCGTGGGTTCCATATTGTTTTTTTACATGTGTGGGATGATGACATTGAGCCTGAAGCAAAAAACAGCACCTCGCCGGCAGCCAAGGAGGATTCTTCCTTCCAAGCACAAAGCCATTGAGTTCTCACCTTGCCTAGTGAAGTATGAAGGAAAAACACGTTGGCAATCGGCCACAATCACCTTTGCAATGTGGGTTCTTCATTCGTGAGTGCTTTGCTTCTAATTTGTCATTGTAATCTTGTTGCCAACTCAGATCTTTGGAACCCAATGCGTCTAGATCTCTAGACCTTCTGCTTCTACACCTCTAGACCTTAGACTCTTGGCGTCCTTTTTTCAGCCTTAGCAGCTAAGCAGGCGGCAAACGTTCATGACCAAAACCAGGCTTGGAGTTCACTAGAATTACGCAATGTACATTGAGAGGGTGACTGGAGACACTTTTGTGTAGGCGCCATGAGGGTCCAGTCGTGCCTTCTGACAAGGTGCCAGATCCCTTGGAATTGGATACGTTCATGTCATGACTTGGCTTGGATAAGAAGTCCTTCCCGAAACATGTATTGCAATCCTGCAATCCATGTTCCCCAAAAATGCATGTCTGGAATTTTGTCCGTTGTCAGTCGTATATAAGCCATCCCTTTTCCAGAAACTGACACGCATGCTGCATGTCTTCATGTTGAACAGTGCTCACCCAACTGACCAGCCAAGTTCCCACCGAAGGCCGCCTCACCTTCGACCTCGGCCAAGCGCTCCAACCGAGGCCCGGGAGTCGGTCTTAGAAGCGGCGTTTTCTCGTCAAAAGCGGCGTCCTGGAGGGGTGCATGATGGGTTTTTTGAGGGCCTTGGGGTGGCAACATGCTGGGCGACCTAAGCTGCGGCTGGGTCGCGTGTTGAAACAAAAGTGGGTTCTTGCCGCGGTGTTTTTGCTCGGAAAACACTGCGTTGGAGCCTTCGAAGGTGTTCAATTTCCATGTGCAGACAAAATAAACTTCCTGAAACTAACATGGTTACGTGGATGTGTAACCTTTTAACATGTTTTTTGGGAGTGGTGGCACCCCACTAAACAAGAACAGGTAGAAACACAATGAAAAAGGTATCTTTATTTTCCAGGGAATTTGAAGAATCAGATTAATCTTGAATGGACACCGATCTCGTTCCATCATGTCATTGTTATCGTGCCATTGCCATCATATTGCCGGCCCGTTCGTTCAGCCCAGGGGGTTGTTCCAAGCGAAAAGGTTTGTCTAGGACCTTCCGTTCGAGGTGTCTATGAATAGCCTCTTAAACTCTAGAGGTTAAGCGGTGTCCGAAAACCACTGCACTTGGAAGGTCCTGGTATAATGTTAAACGCGCTTTACCTCGTGATTGCACAGAAACCACTTGAGGCCAGCCGGAGTCTTGCTCCGCCACCTCCACCTCGCTGAGCTGGTTGGAGTCGACCCGGAACTCGTATTCCTTGGGTCATGTCCTAACGAAGTAAGTTCCTCGAGCAAGTGAAGGAGTGTAGTATAGGAAGTATAATACACTTAGTAGGAGTCTTGTCCTTGAAGGTACCTGGTGGGATTTGGCCGGAATCCTTTTGAGCAGACTTGCGCAGGGGCGCGTGCGGCTCAGCAAAGAGCTCTCAGAGAGCTGGACGACGCGCGAAGTGCTGCGAGCCAGCGAGAAGCAGTTAGAGGACGGGCCGATCGACCAAACCTGCGAGAGCCGTGCGGCGTCCTTCCCCCGTCCTCACGGTCCTGGCTGATGTCGATGGAGGAGGCGGTGGCCGATGCAACGACTTGGTTTTGGGGTTCCCAGAAGATCCCAGGAGCCGGGTGGCCCGGCATTTGCAATCCTTTCGAAAAGGAACGTAGGCCAAGACGCAGAATGCTTGCGCTAGACCCGTTTGGGCTCCAGTTGTACCGAACCTGAGGTTCGGTGGGACTGGGATGGGTGCCAGTGTGGAGTCCAATACCGAACCGCTTCGGAGGTACGACTGGAGTCCAAACAGGATAAGCATGAAGGTCCATGAGGGCGATTTGTTCTCCCCCCGCATGAGGCTTCGTTCTCCCATTTCATCAATGCGAGCTTCACCGCGGCCAACCAAACCAGGTGCCCAAGGGCAAACAATTAATGTACAAGTTGGAAGTTCGATCCATGCAGGTATGCCATCCATAGATCATGTGGTTGCTTCCTTTTCTTCTTTTTCTTCTTCAGCAACGGGCTGCTTGAACAACCGCTGGCAGGAGTTTGACCTGGTGCATGCGGTGGTGGCCCTTCACCGCATCGCCAAAAGCACCGACTACCGTGAACTTCAGGATGATGCGCGCCGACGTTCCGGCGGTCGACGTTCCGGCGCGGACGCTTCAGAGCTTCGGGGACAGCTGGCGGCGTTGGCGGCCAAGGCGGCTGAGGAGGTGGGGATGGGTGGTGGATGGTTGCTCCGGTTGGTTGAATCGACTGGATGGGGTGAGAAAGTGGGTCGTTCCATAGTGACCCTGGGGCTCCAAGTTTTTTCTCAGATGGTGGGACTGGGGTGGGTGCCAGGTCCAAACACATGGATCTGGTTGGAGCCCTACTGGTAGGGAAGTATTGCAAAGTTCCCGGACGTCATGCGGTCTCTGCCGGGCGGACTTCAGCAACAGGTGCAGCCGGGCGGAGATGGAGAACTCCCACATGTGAAGGAAGTCTCAAAAGCTTTGCCGGGGCTCTCAGTCGTCTCAGAAGCTGAACCACCATCAATTTAATTTCACCGAACCACCATTGGTTTTATACTACAAAACCCCATCGTTCCCGTTCCCCTTTTGAACATGGTCCCACCGACTTCCAGGGTCACTGTTGGAGGTCTTCCGGGGAGATGTTGGAGGTCTTGCACAGAAGGCGGTGGAAGTCTTGATCGGATTTCCATCTCACATTGACACGGGAGGTCGTTCGTTCTCGTTAATTCTCAATGAGAAAGTCTCTTCAAATGACCCAGGTCCCAGGTCCCGAACCTCAGAGGTTCGGTACGAAAACGGACCCGGCGTTTTGGCACAGGCGTCGTGTCCGTCCTCACCGAACCTGAGAAGCTACGAAAACATACGAAAACGGATCCCAAACGGGAGTGTTCCGACTTTGCAGGATTGGGAATCATTCGAACGGTGATATTTACTGTGTTTGGATGTTAGTTAACGGTGACTCCTTGGAAGGTGCTGGTGAGTTTCATGCATGAACCTCCGACTGAAGAGCCGGAACACGTCGATGTCCACCTGGCACCACATTTTGTCAAGTATGCTTAAGTTGCTATAGGACTGTTTCTGATCATCCTCCATCAATTCCAAGGTCCCATGTGGCCAGGAATTCCATGTTTGTCTATTGTCCCATCCAAGGAGTGGAGGACCCCTGGTTTTCTTCCCCGACACTCAACTCGACGGAACTCCCCATGCGATTCAGGGAACTGATCTTTCCTTTCAACCTGACCCAATCAGTGGATACCTCCCAATCAGTGGATACCTAGAACTTCCAATGGGTGTTTAATGGAGACCTATATAAGTAGTGTAGGGTTGTCCAGCCAGGTGACCCATTGGAAGCAGCTGGTAACCTGTAATTCTTTTTGGGGGCGGATTCAGTTCCCCACGAAGAGGTAGAGCAGATGGAAAAGGACCAACCATGAAAATTTCTGAGGGATACTGAGAGAGAGTCCATTCAATTTCCCAAAGGCACATGTCGCATGAAACCACCGCATCTTGTCGAACCAGCACCGTGTGCTTCACCACTGTGTCGAACAGGTGGGCGCTGGCGAAGGTGGGCCCCTGGTCTGACACCATGGAGGTGGGCCCCTGGGCGAACACCGTCGCGGACCTTTGAGACGGCCAGTGGATGGCGATTTAAGGTATAGAAGGGTTAACCAAACCCTCCAGGTTTGAAGAGGATTGGCCATTCTGGCCAAGATCATCAGCATGATGCCCATGATGGTCTCCTTTTACTAGACGTATTATAAGCAGTGGTCATTTGAGGTCATTTGGACGCAGCCTTGCAGATCCGATGGATCAATCCATCGGTTTCTCTTTGTCCCGCCTTCACAACGACTGGTCGACCGACCCTTTTGTCTGACCAAGTCTCCTTCGTTCTCTCGAAAAGATAGGGGATTTACAGGTTCTTAACCTGTTTCGCAGCTTCGGGTCATGGTTCGCAGCGGGCCAGGGGCGGCCAGGGCGCCAGGGGCCCGCGTGCGTTTTAGTGTGTTCGGATGGCTCGGGGTCGCAGGCCATCAGAATCGCATTCCTGACCCAGCATGGTGTTAAGGAGCTGATTTCGCCAAACAGCATTGTTTCAGTTTTTGTTGCTAAAACAGGTCGTTCCCATCTTTGAAATGGTCGTTGAAGGCCAGGGATTTGGCTGGGTGTCAACCGCAGATCAATCTGCCACTGGATCAGACGCGTTTAGGGGCTGTAGGTAGGTCAGGTAGATATGTCATGCCAGCACCCGACTACAGGTCAGCGTCTGCCACTTTGAAGTCTCAAAAAGGAACTATTTCGGAGACCCTTTTGGAGGGCTTCAATCCGATGGAGGGGTAGCACATGGTAGCACATGTTTCGGACATGCCTTTCGTGTGGTGTGCAAGCGACGATTGGTCGAACACCTCAATCTTATGACACAATGGTGGTCTACCCTAGTAGGGGGTGTGATGGCGTGGCATGGCCTCCTATACTCTCATAACGTCAATGGAAACCCAACACTTACGTACCTTTTACGCTACAAAAAACACTTTCTAGTTCGGCGCTTTTCTTCTCGGCCCTAACTCAGGAATCCGGGACCAAACACCGTGTTTCATATGTTTCCCCCTGATGAGCTTGGAGTGTTCTGCCCTCCCCTCCCCTCCTCTCCTCTCCTCTCCTCTCCTCTCCTCACCTCACCTCACCTCACCTCCCCTACCTCACTCCACTCCACTCCGCTCCACTCCACCTTCATGGCTTTCATGAGCCGAATCGATACCTATCCACCACCTTTTCACGCCAGGGCTATGCGCCACGGTCCTGGGACCAGGATTGGGGTCGTGGCTGGACCTCAGTGCACCGGAGCTTGAAGGCGGGGGACCCTCCGATCGGTTGCGGCTGTCCTGGAGGGGAGGGGTGTGGAGGGGATGGGGAGGGGATGGGGTGGGAATGGGGTGGGGATGGGGTTGGGTAGTTCTTCTTTGATCCTAGAGCTGGTGGAGGCTCCCAGACTCAGGGTTCACTTATGGTAGATGGGTTGCATCAACAAGCAAATTGATTGGATTTTGGTTGGGCTCACTCATTTCCAATAGACAGCCAAGGACTTGAGCTTGCATGTGTGGATTGAATCTGGACAGGCTTTTGCCTCCAACATGCCGGTATCCCAGATCCACAAGCCAAGGGCAATCCATCCGTGACCCCGCAGGGAGGCTCCTGGCTGATGAAGATTTTAATCAAACAGAGGCATGACTCCTACCCAGTCAGCAGATAATCTTTACTGTAACCTTTTTGCGTTTTTTGGGGGGCTTGGTTTCCCCAGTAAACAAGAACGGGTGAAAAAGGTAAATCTCATTTTTTCCAGGGAGACGGCTTGATGCTTGCAATGCATCTACGGATGCTGTATGGGGTCCATCGGCGAAACAGTTGTTTTTTCCGCTGGAGACCAAGACCTGAATATGACCAGAGCAGGAGTGGAGGATAAGAGTGCCGAACGGACGGAGAGTGCCCCGACCGTCACATCCACTCACTCAAGCAGACACCTGCTGGGATGGGGCGTCGCTAACTTCAATCATGGCGTGATCGTTGGGTGCAGCGTCCCGGGTATTGGATTGTTTTAGTTGAGTGCTTGGCAAGCTTCTGGGACTTAAAAGGTTTTCATCAAAACCTCCCAGAGACCCCCTGGAAGAAGCGATCAATAGACCAGGTCTTAGCATTACATTTGTCCCATACTGGAATCCATCTTGCACCCAGGCTGAAAGAGCAAGTCGGTAGTTTGGTGTTAGCTCCTAAAGATGTCCGCTTTGCTGCGTGGACAAGAGGTTGGTCGTCCAGCTGTCACAAAACCAGGTCGGTTCTTCCATTTGGACTTGCATCAGCTTGTAGATTTAACGATACTTAACTTAACTAGTTCCTCGCTATTTGCAACAACACACGCTGAGACAACGCTTGGTGTATGTTGATGCTTCTCTCTTCCAACTGATTACATCCGAAGCTGCAGTTGTACCCCCTCCAGTCAGCTTACAGCTCAACACCATCCCAAAACAAAAACAGAGGAAGTTGCAGCACAGTTGCGGATGCCTGGACCCTGCAGATGTCGTACAATCTCTTTTTTTTTCCCAGGTTCGAAGCAAGAATCTCAATCCAATCAGGGTTTTCCGCAGTAGGTGCTTGGCCACTCCGCTTTGGATCGACTGCATGAACTGGACAGCCATGGTCTGTCCAACGTGGCGCCCTGGACGCAGCGGCGCGCGTTTTGCGCGAGAAGCGGCACGTAGGTGGAGGGGATGCAATGCCCGGAGCCTGCGATGGATTCAAATTGCGGATCGATCATGTTGGATCTTGAGCAAAACCATCAAAACCCATCAAAACCGATCCCACAAAAAGGCAAAAACCGAGGGAGAGTGAAAAGTGTCAAGCCCACCAAAACCAGTTGGCAAATAGTAGTAATGGTGGGCAGGTGGGTGGGTAGGTGGTGGTGGTAATGGAAGTAGTAGTAGTAGTAGTAGTAGTAGTAGTAGTAGTAGTTGTTGTTGTTGTTGCAGTATAGTAGTGGTAAAATTAACTCAAAAGACAAGAAAGACCTCAAAAGAACACCCTGGACATTAAAAATATAACAAAACTATTCCAATTCCCACCCACTAAACTATTTAGAGTATGGAATAGTATATATTGTTTTTTTTTTTACCCACTCAGCGTAGCTGGCTTTTTGGACTAAGTTGGAAGCCATGGCGCCTAAACAAATGTCGAAGCAGCCCTTCCTGGAGGGCAGGAAGCTATCTATCGACTCGCTCACTGCAGACGCCCCAGCTGGAGTTGCCCGGGAATGGAGTGATGGAGATGTACTCATTGACGAGAGCATAATCAAGGAAGTTGCTCCAAGTGCTGAAGACATCGTGGCCAGTATACCACACAGTGGACTCACATCGGCAGAAGCACGCACCACACAAGCAGGTTTCGGAGCCCTCACATCAAAGATAGCCGGAGTATTTGGGCCTGCCGAAGCCTTGCAGTTTTGCCAGGACAAACATTCAGGTGAAGCCTTATCCGCAAATTGGGAACTCGCGTCTCGAGTGATGGGCGGAGTTGCAACAACGGGTTCTCTCATTTTCGCACTGGCGCTTTCATTCGCTGCATTTACTGGTCATGTGTACTTCTTCTATATTGTGGGCGGAGCTGCGGCAGATGCTGTGGCAGCAAAGCGCAGGGTGGCTGTCCGCGCCAGGGGCAAATCGATCGAGGAACTAGCCCTTGTCAACAGGGTGGATTCAAAGCTCACGCTTCCTGAAGCGATCGCGTTGGCCCTGCGGATGCTAGCGCGTATTGGGACCAAATGTTTTGCACGAGTCCATACGCTGGGCGTTCTCGCTCAGCCACGTGGCGCCGCTTATGACCCGGCCCTCTATGATGGTTTGATTTACCGGATCATCGCTCTGATCGGGTTGACAGTGGACTCTGCAGCCAAGAGGTCACAATTATATCGCCTGTTGAAGATGATCAACGGCCTGAGCTTGATCATGGCACACTTCTCAGCATATAACTCGCGTGGTATCCACCGCACGGAGGAAGGAGCCGGAATGAAGCCTGATTCCGATGAATTCAAGAAGTTTGCTACTGATGCGTTTGGACGTGCAATCCAACTCAGGATGTACAGCGCCAAGATGTTTGTCAACTTATCTCATCGTGAGAACGATGCCATGCTGGCAATTGTTGCAGACAAGGACGAAATTCCGCGTTTGAGTGGTGGACCTGCTGGCTGGAAAGGTCTAATCTCAAGCGTCACAGAATTCAATAAACTGGCCAGCATCGGTGTGACAGTCTTAAATGCTGCTCTGCCGTCTCATCACGAGGGCCATAAATGCTGCAATGCCGGTTGCCCATCTCTCCCATCCCAGTGTGTTGGCCCTCATCTCACGAGAGTATGGAGAAATTGCCGCAGCTTTGGCCGGTGATGAACTTGAACAAGCCCGCACGTCAACACGGCCAGTGCGAGCCGCATTTATAGCTTTCGCGTGTGTGATCTTGAAGCGGGCACTCCAATGGAGCTCAAGGACCTTTACCGGGAGTTACTGGCCAGACCGGAGGTTGACCCGGGACAATGTGTACGGCATTTCACTGATCTGCCTTCCTTGACGCACATTGAGACTTCATTGAGAAGAACGAAGCCCAACAAAGCCAGTGGTCCTGATGGTATTGAATCCAGCTGGATCCACTATGCTGCAGGAGCCATTGGCCCCCACGTCTATGATGCAGTTCTGAAGCTGTTGACTACAATGGATGAACCTATCCAGTGGAAGGGAGGGATGCTGTATATGCTTCCCAAACTGGGAGTCATTGTGAGAAGAATCCATGCTTTGTTCAGAGATCCTTTGATGGAACAGGTTGCGGCTTCTTCCCCTCCTGGTCAGATTGGGGGATTCAAGCATCAGGAATGTTACGAACGCCAGCCTTCGTAGAAGGCGCTAGCGGAGTTGTGTCTGGCGAACGAAGTGAGTAGTTAGGGGGTCTGGGGGGGTGGCCCGGGAAAGGTACACGTAAACTCGGCACATGCTGGGGGAGGAGGGTGCTTCGAGGGAAGGTTTTTTGAGGTTGTGTTGGAGGTGATTTTTGAGGGGTGGTGATGCAAGAAATGCCAAATGCATCATTTGCATCATCTGAATGGAAAGGTGTAGTTGGCACCTTGCAAGGTATAGAGACCCAGGGTAGCTATAGTGCAGCTACCAGGTATAGTACTTCAAGTTCCCTTTCCGTCAACCGCTCGAGAACCTCTACACACGCACAGCAATCCACAGCTTTGAAGTCTCATTCGTGCTTTGAACTTGTATAGGTGTGTAAGAGGTATAGCAACATAGTATTTATACGGACCCAGGGT